CCCCATCCCTCCTTCGTCCATCCTACCGCCTTCCTGGACCTCCTTCAGGATTAACAGCCCACACCAGAGAAAAACTACCGCTCAGGTATGCTTCACTGCTCAGCATTTTCCTCAGCAATATATACTGTAATTTTTCCTTGAATTTTAAATCTACGTCTCCAACACTACGCTGCATTGATCTCTGGTGATCCAGCTACAGAAACCATCCAACATATTCTACAGATTTTTCTACACAATTTCTCTGTTGTTGTCCCATTACAATGACACTTGTCAGCTGCATCATTTACATTCACTGGTATTGAACCAACAGATAGTTATAAAAATATTTTAACAACTTAATATGTTTTAATGCTATTTTCACATACATCCTATAATCTATATAATTAAGAAGCTAGCTTATTCTGTCATTATAAAAGCATATAAAGTCCTGCCACTTTTCCACGATAGTTTTGCTGAATTAGATTTGTAGGATAAATGAATTGCCAGTTGAACTCCAAGGACCTCAGTGGAGTTGTGCTCTTTTAATCAATGGTCGATAATGTCCACCCCCCCCCCCCCACAATTTTCCAACTTCAAATAATTAGCAATCAGTACAAACATACCTTTCATTGGTTACTCCAATTAAGTTTTCTCCATTGACATCCAAAATTAGGTCGCCAGTGAGCAAACGGCCTAGTAATGAAATCAACAGGAAAACAGTGAATGTATTTTATCACTGTAATAAAACTGGGCTTTTTCTTTCAGTTTTATGTGATCTAATGCAATAAACAACCTTATGACTTTTAGCAGATTAGGTTCTGATCCTAATTAAGCTAGACTATTGTCATAAGATTAATAACTATCAATCAGTCTTATTAACCACAGAATAACCACTAAAAATAAGCGTTACTTAGCTATTTGTATTATTTACACATAGCACAAATACTTGTGGGACTGGAATTTACACTTCATAGTTGTGGAATTAACTTTCAGCTGAATTTCGCTTTTAACAAACATGTAAGTTACCACGTATAAATACATTAGTGTTTTATACATTAATGAAGACTTCTAACAAGATTTTTTAGAACCAATTCTATTTTTAACCTTCTGCAAATATCAAGTTTAGGTACTATCACTTTTGAAGTAGATTTAGATTATTTTAAATGATCATTCTGCACAAGACCAGATGGAATCTCAAAAAACCTCATATAGAGACCTAGGACAGAAGTATATTCTGTAACTTTATTACTGCAACCTCTACCTAGTATAATTTGTTCTTTCCACACTGAACATCTAAACCACCACTTACAATATTAAAAAAAAAAAAAAGATCGGAACTCATTAAAACTGGTTCTGTAAAGGAAACACCACTCTTACGCCTTACAAATAAAGAGGTTCAGCATCTCAACACTTAAATTTAGCAGTGTTGAAAGATTGCCAATTGCTTGCACCCCAGCCATATCTAGATTTGAACACATTTTCAAGAACTGAGAATATTAAAATCTTTTCCCATAAAGGGTCCAAGCTTCATTTCTCTATCTTAAAGTAAGTCACAACATCATGAATCCTGACTAAACCATGCTATTTTAAATATCCTTATCCACAAAGTAAAACAAAGAAGACTTCTTCTGACAGCTTTTTATATGCAGCATATTTGTAAGAAAGAAATTAAAATTACTATCTACAGCAGCAACCCCTCCGGGTAGAATTCTTTTTATGAAAATCCCATAATCTTCTGCTGTTTGTGCCCGATAACCTCCAATGATTTTAACTCCTGCAGAAAAAACAAAAGAAAACAAGTAAGAAATTGGTTATTCCACCTACTGTGCTAAATGGATTTACAGTCAAATCCATAAAAGCCAGATAAATTAAACTTCTACTGATGACAGTGTGAACTGGAAAACCTCACCAGCTGCTTTTAGATTTGGTTTACTCTGAATCAACGGAATGTGCAATCTAATTACCTAATCCATTTTGACAATCAGAAAAAGAAATGCGGTGGACAGCTCGATTGATTCCATGAGGGCCCATAATAGTCCTAAGGAATAAAAGAAAAGTCATTAAATCTCTAATTACAGAAACGTATGTAGAGCTATGTTAATATAGAAGAAATTACAGTGACCATGTTTTTATCTCTAATACAAACCAAAACCAGTCCTCTATAACAGACAACTTTATATTGTTTGATACCTCTGTGCCACCCCTTCCCTCCAATGAAAAATCAATCTCCTCATAACAAATGTACGATGGTAAGGTAAAATTAAGTATACGTAGCATTAAATAGAAACAAAATCCCACAACCTGGTCCAGCTTAGCATTTAGGCAAGAAAAACACATCATAATGTCTTAGATCAGGTAATGAATATTAAAACAAAACCACAGCTAAGAGAGTGTATACAAGAATATTTCCTAGGAAATCTAACATGTAACTTTGTGGTTATTTATGAACATAATCTTTTCCTTACAGTCCCTCATTTCTTCACTCAACATCATTTTCTTTCTCCATTTTAAAAAAGGCTTCTCTCCAAACTCTATTGCCTGCTCCCCTGTGTACCCTCCCACTCCTAGGCAAGATACCGGGATGGCACCTGAAATCGTCTAAAGGCAGATGAGTATGTTGGAGGCAGTTGATAACGGTAAAGAATTAAGTAAGAATACAAAGTAAAATTAGAGTTTTGAAACCTAAATTTACAGTTCCATTAGAAACTTGACCAGCATACTGCTCTGAGAATGCAAGCTGTTAAGAATTCCTATAGATCAAATTATCCTTTACCATTTATTATTTTCATTTAGGTGAATTATTATGAAAAAATCCAAGTTGTATCATAGCTCCTTTGTCCTCCCACTGTACCATTTTTGGAGAAGACTCACCAGGTCCCTTCTAGAAAAAAGCAGAAGTACCACTTAGGTTTTTCTGCTCTGACCTACATATAGTTCTACATGGGTTGCATTTTCTAGAGCATGATGTTGAAGTGAAATGGAACAATGAGAATTCATTAGCAGGGGGGGAAAGAAGATCAAAGTGGAGGACATAGTGACCCAAATCCTCCCACGCAACCAAATCCAGCACACAGCCTGAACTCCATGCTTGAAACTGGGTATTTCTGCAAAAGCCAGAGTACATGTCATTAAAAGATGCCGTGCCAGAGGGAAGAGAGAAATCCAGAAGGTCCAAATGTTCCTAAATTCTAGCACCAGGCAAAAGATCCAGCTTCTAAAGAACATCCCTAGTTCTTTCCGTAGGTATTGTGTAAGAAAACTGGATTTTTTTTATCAAGGGATAAACACTTGCTCTGAAAAGCAACAAGTTGTTCCACAACCTCGAACTCCCAAGTATTTGCAAAATTAGCCTTTGCTTTACAAAGGATGGCCATAAGAACAGACCTAATAATTGATTTTTAGAAACAAACAGGAAGCCTATGCTTCAACTTTAGCATTTCTTGCAGTATTTTTTTCATAGGCTAAAAAGAAATGATGAAACCTAGTTAGCATATTTGGCCACTGACAAGACTGCACATGACCTTGCTACTACGTGACGGAGCGTAAGGCACACTTCGTAAGGCTAAAAGTGAACCGAACTGCTTTTACTTAATCACAGTCCGAAAGGAAGAATAAATCCTTAAGTCTGCTATTTCTCTAACAAAACTTTTTTGATAAACTACTTCTACACTACAACAGCAGAGTATTTTGCATTACTACCTAGTACTGTCACTTCAATTTCCCCACAAATTTAAATTGTTTTGAAACTGAAAGACAACATACTAGCCATGTTCCTCCATTCATCTTTGACATTTTAGGCAAGGTACACTGATCTTTAAAACAAGCAAACAAGTATTATTTTTTTTTCTGTCTTGCCTTTTGCTCCTACTGTTCTGTTTCTTGCTGTGCCATGCTCTCGGCGGTTTTCACATCGCAGTTTTTCATTAAAATAAAAAAAGCAAGAACAAATGCTGTTTCAACCTCGCACAGAAGTTTAGTTTCGTGAAGTCTTAAAAGATCAAATCTCATATTTTAAGTCTAAAGTTTTCCAAAGGAAAACAGAGTTCACCAGAAATGGTAGAACCTATTTATATATCGCTATATAAAATGATAATGAAATATGGTCAAATCTAGGCACAGAACACTTAACAGCAAAGGGTCTACACTTCCAGAAGTAACAGGCAGTACTTTCAGAAGAGATCCTAACTAACATAAAATGGATTCTGACAAAGAGGATACAGACAATATACAAACTAATTCCCAATGGAGAGGAATCAGGTATCTCTAAAACAGTGAAATTATCACGATGTTGCCATCTACAATCAGAAAGGACTGACACCCTTACAAGGCATTCACTTGTGTTTATGCTCTGAAGACCAAATCCCTCCAATACGTGAAGTTTAAAATTACTTCATCACATACAAAGTAGAGACAAGGATCTTCAAATTCCCCGAATTCATTTAGCATATCACATCTTGCTGGCTTTGGGTGTTAGTTTTTCTCCCGTGTAACTTAGAGATGGATCTTCAAGTCAAGCTACTTGTCATAGTTCTACTAGAACATACAGGGCTTTCGCAGTCTCCCTATATAAAGTCTTGGATTTAGCGCCCATCCAACATTTATGTCATGTTATTGTTTTTTTAATATTCATGAAATGTTAGAATACTTCCACCAAACCATTAGAAATATGCTCAACAGTATAAATAAGGACACAGGTTTCTAAACCGATTGGCAAAAGTAACAAAATAATTTCAATGTTCTTTATAGAAAAAGATGCAAATTAAATAATCAGATGTCGCTGCTCATTCTTCGAGAAGTCATACTAAAATACTCGTAACCAAGCTTTTAGCACACGGAGAAGAAACGATGAGACGCAATAGATGAAATAAACAAGCAAGACTCTACAAAATGTACACTAGAACTTTGTTACACTGAAATTATGAAAAAATATTAAACTCAACACTCCAACTGATGTCCTGGAATGCTAATAGACTCAGTGCGTATAATTTTGTGTTATTCGCAGGCAATTATTATTATTATAGTAATAATTATTATTTTGTGTTAATTCACAGGCAATTAAAATGAGATCTTTGATACTTTTTTCTATTACTTTTTACCAGCATACACAAGGAAGTTCAACAGCTTTATGTTTTATATCTGCTAGAGACTTATCAGAACATATGACTCCGGATATTCTTCTGAACTGCATTCCTGAGGAATTATTAGTCATTTATGTCCACAAACAAATATTTATCTAGATTTATCAATGGAAGAATAATACCTTTCCCTCACAAAATAGATATTACTTGACACAAACAAAAATCTAAATGATAAACTCCCACTACTTATGAAAAGAAAAAGAAGCTGAAAACTGCTACAGCTTTTAAATTATCTTTACTGTACTTTTCCCAATTACAGACTAGAAAAATGCCGTCAGAACCTAATGGTTAAGCATACCAGTATAAGAGAGAAAGACCATCAAAACGCTCTGGTTCATCTTCATCTCCTGGTGAGAGTAAGGACATTCTTCAGTACAGCAACAAAGACAATGACAAGGAACCAAAATACACCGGAGGTTTCCAATTCAGCCGGATAGAGGTTACATGCAGGACAATTTCTGCTACTAACTAAAAAAAACCCAAACAGACAGGGCTCGAGACAAGTGTCTCTGCCTACTTAATCTTCTCTGAAACCCTCTGCGTCACATGGACTAATTCACCTATCGAGGTAACATTTACTTTTTCTGTTTGAAATGGCAATTTATCGCTACTTTAAAGACTGAAAACGTAAAGGAGAGAAAATTCACTTGCATTTACTACAACTGTGATTGCCAATCTATATCTAGCAGCAGAAGCCAAGTGAAATAATTAAAATAAACTTATTTACTCATGTTCCTCCAATAATTTATTTACATGTTCCCTCCAAACAAGGTCAAAAGCAATAACTCATGACCTTTCTAAAGCAATCTTCCTAGCAGACTGGATTATGTACACTCACACACAAAAGGGAAAGCCAACAAAGCACACAGACTGAAAGCATTAATGAAACAAATGCCATTACTGTGCATTCTTAATCATAGTATTGACTTGTGTCATGCTTTAACTTGTTTTTTAGTCTTTCAATATACAATAGTCAAAAGTTAACACAGAACTTGGGTTATATATTTTCTCTAGAAATGGAAGCTGACACAGCAAATAAAAATGGTGAATTTGTATCATTACACTGAGAATAATCTACTTGAAAAAGTAAAAAATACACCACTATTTCCCGAGGTAAGACTCTTCTGATACGAGGCTTCGTCTTGCAGAGATATGCGTATTTTCAGAAGATCTGAGCACCTGACATCAGTTTGGTTAACTCCTATTTTCTTCCAGGTTGCATCAGAAGATGCGCTCAGATGCACTCCTATTACTTCCCCTCTTTCTAAAAGATCTTAAAAAGACGACGGTTTAAAATGAAAACTAAATATCCTGTGTTCGCTGAGGGCTGTGTTTAAGTAGAAAGGTGAATCCTCTCTAAAGCAGGGAGTAACCCTGTGATGAGACAGCATCTGTCAGCGTCTAGAGCTGCACAGCAGGACAGCCTGGCTATGCGAGGAATGCATATGCTCCTCTCATGCACCTTTTCTTTTTTCTAAGTTGTAGTGACTGTGGCTTCATTAGCATGTAATTGTTCTGGGGAAAGGATCTTTGTGCTTACGGGCAACATGCTACCGTAGCCTTCACATACCCTGAGGTCAGTCCCTAGAGCCTGCGATCTACACACACAAGAGGGGCAGAAGGGTGAAGTGCCCCACCACAGATTAAGGAGCGGATCAGTGATGAAAGCGGGAACATAAAGCAGCCTTCCCAGCTCCCGAAATGGGAAGAGCTCCACTGGCACCATTTGGACTGCTCACATCCATTCAGCGATGAAAATTTGGCCCCTTGTAGTCTTTTCTCAATCAGTTTCTGCTGGCGTTACTGGCATTACAATCCGATGGAAGAAAAGCGACCGGTATTTTAAGCATCCTATCAATTAGATTTGCTCCAGGCAAGGTTACAGAAGATAAAATACCAATAGCCAGTCTCCAACAAAATTGTCACTGTTCTTAACACCAGTGGAGTTCAATTTGTGGTATCAGTATCAGGGACATTTGTCAAAACAAATCACTCAGACCAATATGGTTTGTATCCGGTGTCACGTTTTCTGCAATAGAAACACACACACCCCCACACCCCCCCAGTAAAAGTGTGACTCAAGGCTACGCGTTTCCGTTATTAAAAAGCAAAAATGATTTTTATTAAACCAGGCACGACAAACTTACCAACAATTTAAGCAGATATAAAGTAGTATTAAGTTTCTTATTGCTCCCACCTCTTTTTGTTAGTTACTATCGGTAATACATCACTTGTTCAAACAACGGCTCCCCCATCCCTTCTTCAAAGTAAACTATGCACTGTTCAGCTTCCCGAACTCATCCCCAAGGCTTCTATCCCTCTTTAATTAAAATTCTGCTGCTGCGCTGCTTTTAATGTTTCTAAAGCACTCATACAGAAAAATGGTATTATTGCTTCCTTTGCAAGTTCCCTGCCTTTCAAGAACATACTCAGGGGAACACAAATTACTTTTTACTTCCAGAAAGATCTAGGAGCACTGTAACAATTTAAAACCCCATAAAACCCAATATCAATAAGTAAGACTAAATTTTCAAGAGACATCATTTGTTATTTTGTGCAGCAAACAAAGATTCTTTTTCAAACAGCTAGTAAACTATTCCATTCTGGCAACATTATTAATGATGACTCGCCTTTCCCAAAGGAAGTTTTGTAATGCTTTAGCAACTGAGATGGATTACAGGATAATTTAGCAGATGACAAAAAGATTTGCAGAATCTTCGGAAGCAAGATTCACAAGATCTTTTTGTTATAAATAAAACAAAGGTCTTTCACAAAAATCCTATACAAGTCAATTATGCAACTGCAGCCTTTCAGGCTCACGAACCCTAAAAGGTAGAAGTTTATTATGACACTAAGGACCACAGCCAAGAGAACGCTCTACCATATAGGATGAACAAACACTTACTTCTGATCTATCCAAACCCACTACTTATTCAAAAAACATTTTGCTGATTAGGTCGTAAAGAGTAAAAGAAAACATATGTCATTATATGGCTACTGTTAAACATGAAAAAAAAGCTTGAGCAATGCTGTAACTGTGGAGAAGCATGAATGGTTTGAGGCCAAATCCCTTGCGTAGAAAAGAAGGGCATTATTTAAAGTTTAGGTAAACCTCAATTAACATATAACCAAGTACATTCTTGAAGCATTGTGCATTGATACTGTCTCCCAGGATAAAAAAAAAAAACTATAGAAAATTATAGTCTTCCATCATCATGTAGCTGAAGTGCAGTTATATGCACCTTTCATGTTCACCTCCTACGTAAAAAATTGCCTTTGGAATACAGTGATCCAGTAACTGTCCATGTAACATAACTTCCACATGAAACTAGCAAGCCATAGCTGTTTTAAAGATGTATCTTTGTGCTACATACCCTGTATTTCCATCGGACAAGCAGAGCGTTTGCTTCTTCAGATCCCAGTAAAAAGCAAGTTAATTTTTTTAATGTTTTGTGGATTTGTTTTAAAAAAAAAATCAAGTTATTTATGAAGTGGCATAATTCAAAAACTATGCTAAATTGTTTGACAACACTTTTGAACACTATTTGCTCGATTCTATTGCACAAGCACAGCAAACACGATGGCCCAGCAAGAGCTGTCTGTGCCTGTTTTTAATTATGGTTTTGATGACAGCGTTGGCATGGTTACTTAGCAGTTTGGGAAGGGTCTGCAGTTACGATTTTCAATCATGACTGAATCCAAGTTTGCCATTTAGAATCTGATCCAACTTTTCAGTGGATAACATTACAGTTTATAGAATGAACAGAATTATCATTATATATCCCACGGCATTGGTAAAAACAAGATGGTTCCAAAGCACTACATATAAAACATTAAAGGCGTGCAGACATAGTATTCTGGAAAAGTAATTCATTATAATACGTAAACTCCGTACAGTGTCTTATGTGACTGCAGTTACCCTGTATGTACAAGGAAGTAATTTGCTATATACCTTACACGTACGTTTTCATAGTTGCAGAAGCATTAAGGAATTCCTATGCAGGGTTTTCTCTCTACAGAACCAGTCCAACCCAAGTGCTGATTAACTTCATGAAAAGCTTAAGAGCTATTTCTTCCCTTTATGTGTAAATTCACTGCTGTTGGTATTAGCTTTTCTAAGATGTTGCTTCAGACTGTTTCAATATCAAAGTTATTTTTCTTTAAGACTTCATCAAAACAAAATCCTACTAATGAAACTGCACGAATTTTCATATTACGATCCAGTAATTGTTGTATTCCTGTGGGGGGAGGGGGGGGGAAATACTTACTTTTTATCTGTATTTGTTAGGGGATCTGTACTGGACATCTTCTTAGGTGCGCTATTTTAACAAAAGTTCAAAATGAAGAATTCTGACACATGAAGCACTGGCTCGTAACAGAGATAATAATTGCTGTAAAAAAGGAGAAACCACTGTTTGAAATTTACATGGCTACGTTTATTTTCAGACACTGACAACAATTCTTATTTATCGCTGACTAGCTGAAATCAAGTGGGAAAAGAGAACTTTCATGACAAAACAGATACATTTCATTGCTGAAAAGGAAAACAGTAAGCAGTTAACAACTCAGACTCTGCTGTATAATGTACCAAAACATCCGATACCCTAACTTCCTCTTAATTTACGAGGTAGGAATTAGGGCAAACCAGAACCCCCTGTGATTAAAATCTTCTAAAAAATGAAGTAACCGAGATAATTCCAGGATAAAACAACATAACTGCTAAAGACAAAAACAATCTCATTTTTTTCCAGCAATGGTTACTTGGGGAGGGAATGTTGTTTTGAACATAGGGTGTTTTGTATGTCTTGTCTGCTCACATTTTTTTAACTTACTGTCTAGAATTCAGTGCCTACGGAATTCTCACATGAAGTATGCAAGACGTAGGCCAACACGCATGCAAAACCGGGTTACGTAACGCTAGTGTAGCAAAAAATTACAGGTTTTTTTGTAATTCACCTTGTATTTTTATTAGCGCATAGGACAGGTCGACAAGAAATACAATCCTAAATGTACTGAGCTACAATCATTTGAAAAATTACCGCAAAAGCCCTAATGCAAAAATACCCGTTTGTATCAGTAGCAAGTCTTCTTCATGAGCTGTATGGCTAAACCCTCACATGGCCACGAACCAGGAAAGACGTTTCTCCGAAGCCACGGTACAAGGGGGACAAGGAACTCCCCGAACAACGCACAGGCAAAAGATGGCAACAGACCCCGGCGGCACCGGTGACATGCTACAAACCTGGGCTAAAATAAGGAGGGCTAAAATAAAGGAGGCTCCCTAGTGCCAGCCTCCACAAAACTACACTGACCAATTCATCAGGTTATATATTTCTGCATGAAAAAAAAAAGAAGTTAAATTCTCTTTGGAATGCCACAAATTTTCCTGCAGTAAATGTTTTCAGATCTCTCGCTAAAGGATCAAAAATGACGCCATCTAAATACAGAGGAAAGGCCACAATACTGCTTCACTCGGGGCTTTATCATTCCCTCGTTCAATGCAACTAAACGCAAAAACGAAGCGGTACCGGGAGCTGCCGAAGTCACTGCGCGACTGGCGCTGCTGGCGCCAGCACCAGAGCAGAGCAGCGCCCTGAAGCAGCAAACGCAAGCGCTGCTACAGGGAAGTTCGCTACAGGGCGTGGGAAGAGACTGTGTGTGTGAGTTTGTCTGACCCCCCCGTCCCGAAGCTACTGCTGTTTTACAGTTCACACACAGCGCTCAATCACTTTGCGACGTGTCAATATTTGTGACTAAACGAAGACAAACCCGTACACAAAGAGAGGAAACCAACCATGAACCAAAGCCCCGCCGGCAGAGGTAACAATCGGTGTCAGCGTCCACACAACAGGGGGACCTGCAGGAGGACAGGGGGACGG